TGAGGAGGCGAGGCACCGGTCACCGCTTTGTGGGGGAAGCGGAGCAAGGCCGTACTGGGGTGCTTGCTCCTTCCTCAGCTTGTCATGGTGCTTGCTCCTTCCCCAGCTTGTCATGGGGCGGGCTGTCCGACGCTGTTCGTGACTGAAATCGGTTGTCGTTTCGGGGTGGGTGAAGGAAAGCTGCTCGCTGTAGCTGCTTGGTGACACTCCTTCTCCTGTCGTAGCCTAATCTGCTTTCGTTTTGTCGGTAGAGGACGGACTGGTCCGAGCCCTGGCTGGTGGGGCTGGCGGTTTTCCACATCTTCTGCTTTCTCCTAACGTGCATCTCCTTCCAGCACTACCGGGTGCAAATTGGGCACTTCCTCAGCATGGGTGAGTAGTGTGGTCGGGTGAGAACGGGTATGTGCGTTCTTTGAGCTGCTAATACTGTCAAATAGCTTCTTTTGGTCTCTGATGATAAGCGTTTTCTTCATATAATTGGACAGTGCATGGGTTTATACTTTGCAGAAGGTAAAGTGCATGCAAATTAGTATTTTTTCTTGCAGTAATGCCTGTGTCTATACATGATAAGTTACAGAAGCTGCGATGATCTATAAATATATATTTATTTAGTTTCTAAGACTGTATGAAGTAGTGACTTAAAACTCTGGCATTAGTGAGGATCTGGGATAAGTGAGGTTTCTGCACGGTAAATGCTGTGTGTATCACAGCTTCCCAAGAAATTGTTGCTGTGCTGGAGAAGCAGAAAATAACTTGGATGAAAGCCAGCAATTGCTCTCTACTCTGCCGTATTCTAATGCTGCAGTTCAGTGAATGTGGTCAGCTTTCAGCTGGATTAATTTCTGGAGCAGGTTCATTGTATACTCTGCTGACAGCTGTAATAATGATACGAGGAAGAGCAAGACTAATTTGGTACGTTGCAGTAACAGCTTGTGTTATCTCAGGGTTTATCAGACTTCAGCCTGCGAATCCACAGTGGCCTTGCCCAGCCAAAGCTGTCTCTTTATGGCTGACTGGCTGAAGATCTGGTAGCTTTGCAGAGGGTATTTAGTTTAATTAAGATGATATGGATTTGGGTTAGATCCATGTATTATGAGCAGAACTTTGGTTCTAGCCATGGGTTGGATTTTCTGGTAAGTTGGCTTTTTTTGCACAGTACCTCAGCTCTGTCATGCTTGCAGGGTAGTGGAGGGGGAATGAGCAATTGAAAGAGATTTGCAGGCAAAAAGCCACTTGAGGACTATGTTGACTTTTTAAAATACTATTTAGTGAACTGGTCAAGTTGGGAGAGGAATTATAGCTTCCTCAAAACTGCAAATAACTTATCTAAAGCTAAGGTTTCGATAACATTAAGTAACATTTATATGTTACTTAATAACATTTAATTCATAACATTTAATAACATTTGATTCATTTGTATGCTGAGCTCTTTCTGTAAGCTCAGATGAGTAGGATTATATGTTTGTTTGTTTGTAATATAGTAGGTATGTTTTATGATCACTTTGTACTTAGTAAAAATGTAGGACATTTAAATCAGAAGTGGGTTTCTGCAGTTAAATATTAAATATGTAATTTGATCATCTGAAGATCAAGGAATTCAACTGTCTGGTATGTATACATCTTTAGTATACATGGCAGAACTGATGGTGATTTCTTTTTTAAAGAAAAACTGAATTAATATTTCTCTTTTGTTGTACAGTGGGCTTAGTGTACTGTGCTGAATATATAAATGAATTAGCAGCCATGAATTGGAGGTAAATGTTTTCACTTTCATTTTTGCATTTAAATGAATGTTCTTCTAAAAATATTCTTTTTTTCTTGTCATTTCCAGAAAACATTAATTTAAAGAGTCACTCATGCCTCATCAACAGAATGTGATGGCAGAGGGTGTGTTGCATTGATTAATATAAAACTTTTGAACAAAACAATGCAGTATAACATAGTTATCAGCTTATAAGAAAAGATAATTCTTAATAGCTAGCATGTGTTTAGCGCACTGCTTATCTGTGTTTATATGGATGGTTGTAAACTAACTACTGAGAGAGTTAAGACAAAACCAGATTGCGATGGTTAAGGGGAAAAGGATATGAGCTTTGGGGTGGTTTTTTGTTTTGTTTTTGTGCGTTTTCCTTTGGTAGCTATTCATGTTTAATAATCTGAAGTTAAGCACCACTTCTCAAAAATATCCCTGCTATTTTATGTACTTACTTATACATATAAAAAGCATTAACATTTGTCTGTTTTACTAAGCCTACGTACTGGAATTAAACTGATGGCTTATTTTCATAAGCACTGAACTAACTTTTCCCTGATGTAACTGGAAATTCAGTGTTTAACACTACTTTATGCAGGCATCCAATTGTAAGTACGTTTCACTTCAGGCAGACGCGACCTAAATTTCAGCTTTGCTACATTTGTTATTTTTGTTATCTGGTCCAATATGAAGAAGCAAAATACCCAAGAAAGTCATTTCAGACACTTCATGATACGCATGATTTCTGATGCACAAATATGCATACTATTGTAGTCACATTAATAAGTTACTTAATCTATGGTGATTTTATTTAGGTTTTGCACAGTAAAACTTTAAAGAGAAGAAAGACTGGCATTGTAATAAATATTCATAACTCATGAGATATTGACTGTCTGTTTGTTCTAACTTAATAATACAGTAGAATGCTGACCTGTGCTTGGGGATCCCAAAAAGTAGGATAATCTGTACCATATCCATGTTTAATAGTTAGTGTGAAGGTCGAATGTCACATGAACTACGCTGAATAAAGCTTACTCTTCTATTTTTGTTTATTTCTTTCAGGCTGTTTTCTAAATACCAATACTTTGATTCAAGAGGAATGTTTATTTCACTTGTATTTTCAGCACCACTGTTGGTGAATACTATTATAATTGTGGTATGTATATGTTTGTTTATATGGATGCTTTCATTAAATTGATAAGTGAATGTATGTGGATTAGTTAAATATAATAATTTACGTACTTTTCAGGTCACCTGGGTTTACAGAACTTTGAATGTGATGAGTGAACTGAAGACACTACAGCAGAGAATGAAAGCAGAAAAAGAGAAAAACAAGTGAAAGCACCTAACACTATTTTTTTTTGATTGAAATAATACTTGTCCAAGTAATCAGTCCTTCTGTATGTTTATCCAGAAACGGCAATGTTTTTGTGTTGATGTCAAGAGGACTTTGCAACCTGTGGCTGTGGACAGTGAGGTGAAACTGGGTATCTACAACACACTTGAATTGGCTGTGAAATTGAGAAACCCAGTCTTAACAGGTCTTTGTGCCCTTCAATGTAAGATAGTTTTCCACCATGACCAAGGCTATTAGTACTGGTGAGACACAATCTTCCAGTCTGTTTCCATTTGCCTATGTGCTTTTTAACTATGTCATAACTGTGTTTTTATCAAGTATCCAGTCTTCTGCTGCTTAAGCCAATTGGAGCAGTGTTGTCAGTTCAAGTAAATGAGGGATTGTATTCAGAATACCTCAGGAAGCCATGCTTCTATGAAGCGTTTCACTTCTTTATAAATCAAGTTTTATACTTCCTGTGTGTATTGTGTGCCAGTAGCATTTTATAAATAAAATTATCCACTGTATCTTAAATGGAGTTAATTTGTATTAATTTTTATTTCAATTTTTTCTTTCTTTTTTCTCATAAAAATTCCCTGCTTGATGAAATTTTGTACTTAATTTGTGTAGGTAATTCAAAACGATCTCTTCCATTTTCTTTCAATTTACATTCCATGATTTTAATGCCACTAGGTAAGTATCTTTTATTAAAACTGGATGACATTTTGGTAGCTTTTGCTTGTTTGTAGAACAGCTAGGCTACTTTATATTAGCAAACTAAATAGATGCAGGCTTTCTGTGTTGTCCCATAATTGTCCATTCTGTTGCGACTCTTGATGAGCTGTTGGGTAGTGTCAACTATCACTGTTCCATGAAAATTTCTCTAGTGTTCTGGTAGATAGCACCTGCCTTTTGGGAATGGTCCCTGTTTTGAAGGAGTGAATAGAATCTATCCAGATGGCTGCAAGGTAGACTGTGGTGCCTGTCTTCAGGACCAAGGAACGGGCCTCTTTGATTTTGTGTAGATAGATGTAGTCCTCCCAAGCTGGTTTAGAAAAGTTCAGCTTTGCTCTCACGATTTGATGGGGAGAGGTATGCAATTTTTCATACGTGGCCTTAAGCATGACCACACAAATGTGCTCCTGACTTTCCTCTTGTGGACTGTTCTGCAACAATATCAATGCACAATTGTTTTAGTATCACACACTGTAGTACCTCGTCGTACTGAGATACTACCTGTTATCAACAACCTTTGGCTTGACAGCATGTATGAGTTTGATTCACGGTAAATGAGGTGGTTCAGAGCAGCTAAGCAGCACATCTGTTGCAGTGGAAAATGGTGTGCCTTACTCGGTACATCCAAGGCAAACTTTGCTTAGCTAGTTCAGTATTTTGTGGAAAAAATGAAAATTCCCTCTTCTGTAAGTGTGTGAAACTGGTGAGATACAGCAATTAGAACTTTCCTTCCTAGCATAACATAGACAAGATAACAGAAATTACTTTTTCTGTATTGCCCAATTTTGGTTACTGTTGATTGGCACAAGATTTATTAGATAAATTCTCTCTACCTTTGGGGATCTCAAGTGAAACAAAAAAATCTTGTGCTTGCTTAAATTCTCTCTTCTTCCTCTGAGTGTAGTTGACCTTTCAGGCAATATTTCATTTTGTGTTGCATTACCGGAGTAATTTTGCCCTTTCATAGGAGATCCCAGGGCATTACAGCCCTGTAACAAAGTTGAAGAACAAAGAACCCTCCTAAAGTGCAAGTGGCAGGCACTTTTTTTAATTGGCAAGTAAAAATCCATTTGAGCTGTATAATACCTGTTGATTTCTGATACTACTAACATAACACAATAGCTAGGAGTTAGATAATACTTGGTTTAGAAAGTATCAATGTGATGGAGTTTTGTTGTCTTCTAAAAGTATTGCTGAGTGAAAGTATAAACAGCTCCAAATTCCAAAATGATGTCAATAGTTTTTTAAAATATTGAAATCACAAAATGTACTCTTTAAGATTGTAAGCCTGGTGTTTTTAAACCTTCCCTGACTACTGAAACTATAATAAGTAAATGTAACAGTTAGATACATTTTCACAAACACAAAAATGTGGTTTCCGTATATATGTTTGTCAGAAAAATACTCCAGTTTTCTACATTTCAGAAAGACTCAAACTTTTGTCTGAGTTGTCCTCTAGCTAACCGTGCCTAAGAAACACTAAGTTTAAGAGCTAAGTCCAGAGAAGAAAAACAACAAAAAACTCGGTGTCTTTAACCATAAGGGAAACCCTCAGAATTAAGTACAGCATGCCTTTTCTTCATTATGTGTCTGGATTTATGAAGTGATAGTGCAATAACATAATGTAAGGGCCTACTTACTGACAAACCAAAATAATTACATCATGAATTTAGAGACTGTTTTGCCTACTTAGAAGCTTGTATGTATAAATGAATGAGAGCCAAATGTTTAAGGCTGGTGGAATACCTTTGCTGTTAATTGGGAGACCTGAATTAGGTTGCTTGCGAAAGAGCGTGTTTATTTCAATGCGGAACGTGCATACAGAAAAGCTGGTAGCTGCTCGGTCGGATGCTTCAGAGAGTCAGACGAGACAGAGGGGATTTGTTACTGGTCCTGTGTGTCTTGCAGGCAGTGGCTCAAATCTTCAGCCTTAACGTGTCTTTCCACAACAGCAGATGGTGTCAACCAGTGTGGAAAAACATTAAAAGGGAGAAAGTAATATTAACCTGGCACCTTTACCGTAGTAGAAAGTAGTTTTGTTGCATATGAATCTGTGAAAAGATAGATTAGCAGAATTTGGTTGGCAAACTTCCCGGAGTTTGAAGTTGGCCCTGTTCTCTATGGAAAAGTAGTAACTGAGATGAGTTTCCAAGAATAAAAACCTAGAATGCTCTCATTTTCCACATCCTCTGAAATGCCATATTCTTAGCTAGGAGTGTGTTTTCACCTCTTTTTGGTCCAATGAATCTCACTATTCAAGACAAAATGGAGCAGATCCAATAAGGGAATTTCCGCAGGAATATTTCCCAGCTTAGTAGATACATGTTTTGGATATCCCTTTCTCCCATAAAGCCCACCTACCTCCCAAAGGTGCAGAAGGACAGTAAATCGAGGTCTCCTGCATCCTTGTGTGTGTTCTAAATAAAAACTTTGAAGGATGGTCCTACTGGTTTTCATCAACTGGGTCTTAAAAAAAGGGATATAGTCCAGAAAAGCTATGTTAGATGGTGATCTGCTGTGAGTCCTGAGCGGAGGAGAATTGCTTTGTGGATTCGAGAATCAGAAGATCAAATCTTGGACTCTGGTTTCTGTAGGAACTGGGAATGTCAGGAGAAAGAGGAATGGTGATTATTTGTGTGAACAAGATAGAAGAGAATACAGCTGTGATGTAGGGAATGTTCTATTTCTTTAAATACAGCTAAACATTTTTGCTTACTTTTGCTGTAAGCTTGACTAAAAATTAGAAGCAAAATATTTTTTCACTGTAGATGAGCATACCATTTTTGTAATATATCAAAATATGTTTCTCTGTTTAGGAAACTCACATATTGTGTATATTTGTCAATTTAAATGTTTTTAACATTTTTAAATATGTTTTAAATATTTTAAAGTGTTTCAACAAAATACAAGTATTGGTGATTTTCTGTGCATCGGGGAAGAGATCATGGCAGCTAACCCAGCTCGCCACTGGATGTCAGCATCTCACAGGCAAAAGCTGACTCGAAGCTTGCCTCGGGAGCCGGGTCTGTAGAGCTTTTCACCACAGCTTGGTAAATACTTTCTGCAGCGTTTTGGAATGGCCAGGAAGGCTTGGACTGTAGCCTCTGAAAGCATAAATTGTAACTGGAGCTTCAAGATACATCTCCAGTCACTTTCAAATGTTTATTGACACTCTTGGTCTTTACGTTAAAAAGTACTTCTTGTAGCAGTGATGATGTGCATATGTGCTTTTGGAGTCAGGACTGTGAGGCTATTTTGTTTTTTAAAGCTTCTTAATGCAGCAAGGAAACAAATACCCCATTCACTCATACCTACATTTCATGTGGAGGAGCCTGTCTTCAACCAGTTAAAAAGTATAGCAACAAAAAATACAACGGTTACATTATTGTGTGGACATTATGCAGGAAAGCTTACGAAGCAGTCTGGTTCATGAACTGACAGAGCTTATGTGTGTCTTCTATTTCTTTGTGATTTACCCTGGCATAATGCATCCTTACCAAGTCTGTCCTTAGTATGTTAAGCAACTAGCAGTCACTTATGATTGAGGTGCTTAGAAGTCACTTCAGACTTTATCCAAACATCTGGCAAACGGGACTCAGCAGTGTTCAGAGGTTTTAGGACTTGATTTGAGAAGTTGTAGATGCAGAGTTCTCCACTTGATGTTCCCCTTTGTGTACCTGGTTTTGAGCCTGTTTTTATTTATCCTTGGAATTCATCTGAGTTCTGTTTCCACACACCACCTCTTTAAGAATACAGACTTTCAGTTTGAATGGGCCTCAGTCCCCTTCCTGTCATGTACGTGCATGCACATACACATAACGACTCTGAAAAGATTAGGCAATTATAACCCTGCACGCTTGTGAAATGCCAGCCTCATAACTCAAAACTGATGTGCTCTATGGACTTCTGTTTTGTAATGTATCTTCTGACCAGTTCCTCCGAATTGTGGCCATACTTACACCACCATTTTGCTGCAAAACTAGAACAGTGTACTGAATAGGAAGTATCTCAAAGGACTCAGAAGAAAGGCCTCTACCTTTCCTATATTTGTGTTTATTGTTTCATATAAATATGAACTGTAGGAACCTTTCTCATATAGTTTCACAGGCATAATGAAGCCAGGAAAACATTTGTGTTTATTGTTTCATATAAATATGACCTGTAGGAACCTTTCACAGGCATAATGAAGCCCGGAAAACAGCTGTACCTGGTAATATGTTACACTGCTACAAGCACTGACTTTAAGCAATCCCACTGAAATCGTGGTCCTGTTTTCTTTGGCACTGTCCAGAGTTAGAACCATTTGAAACCAACGTCAGAATCAAATGTGTTGCCATCTTTCATCTGAAAATGTTACGATAATTAGCAAGGCATTCAGCAGAACTGATTGAAACAAGGCACATTTCTTAAAATGGACGAGTTCCAAGTGTCGTTTGTAACACGCTTGTTAAACCAGCCCTGAATCAAAGAAATACAATCTTGTATACCTTTCCTCCCTTCTCATCCAGCAAAAACCTGAGAAAAAGGGTTTGCACAGTGACCTGAGGGGAGGCAGAATGAAGTTCAGCTGGACAAGGAGGTATCTAGGCTAGCACCCTTCCCTGAAATCATACTCGTCTCTCAGTCTTAGGATTGTGTAATAAATACACCTAGGTAGTTTCAAGTAGCGGGGCAAGATGTGAAGTTTTTTATGTAATCAGGACTGATACACCTTGATCTTAAGGAACACTAAGCTTGGAAGGATTTTAATATGATAGAAACAAGCTTTTAGAAATTCTTCGAGTCATTTAAGTAATCAT